TATCAGTCATCTCTGCTACATTTGGCCTAGTTGACCATCCTCCTTGAAACTCTGTTCCTTTGTCACTTGTCACTTATAGTCCTTGTCACTGCTTTCCTCAGCATTAAGTCCTGCTGGTTTTGTTTTGTTCGTTTGTTTAGTCATTCATACCTTCATTCAACAAATATGAATCAAGTGCCACTTCTCCAGAAGGCCAGTCCCCAAGGCTGTGGCAGTGAACAAGACAGAGATGGTCCCTGCTCTCATGGAGCCTACAGTCCAACTGAAGAGTAGCCATTCATTTGTTCAACTCAACAAATACTTATTTAGTGCCTCCTGTTTTCCACCTTCTGCTGTGCCTAGCAATTAAATAGATAATGATATAAATTATTTAATTATGTAATTATTTAATCTTAATGGTATTACATGCTTTAAAGAAATACAAGAAGCTATGAGAAACTATAATAGGGATACTTACTCTAGTTTGGGGTGGGTTAGGGGTCAGTCAGGGAAAACTTCCTTGAGGAAGGAACATTTAATGGAAGCTTGAATTTGGCCAAGTAAAAATACCTGGATAGGAGTAGGGGTTGGCAGGGCAGGGAGACAGGAAGGGGTAGTTAATTATTGATTGCACTGTTACTTATAAAGTTATCAACTGTTGTAGCATCTTGAGAATGAAATTTTGCTCTTATCATTTGTCATTGTCGTAAACTCTTTGATTGAGACATGCACAGTCCTTTATTGCAGCATTCACAGTCCCCGTTCTCCTTCCTGGTCAGTGATTATTTTGAAATCTCTGGCAGAACGAAAGAGGTTTTTAGTCTTGATGGGAAATAAGGATATATGCATGAGAGAGTAATTAACAATGTAAGCTAAGTGTCAAATGAGTGGTATAGTTAAATATTGTTGGAATTGAGAGAAGGGCACTGTCAGTTAGACACAGAGTGATTGTCGAGGGCCTTGAATGTAGTGAGAGTTGAAGAAAGAGACTCAGCATAGCAGAGAAGAAAGGAACCAGGCATTTCCAGTAGAGAGAAAGAAGAGAGCAAAGGCAGGCAAGTGAGAATTCAGTGTTGCAATTAGAGAAGGGTGTACTGTTGCCTGTAGGCCTGGACAGAGCCTCCTGTTGGATTGGTTACAGAGTAATGTGATAGAAGACAGTAGAGGACCTGGGAAGGACCTTAAATATCAGGCTAAGGAATTGGGACTTTATCATTTGAGCAGAGAGATGGCAGGTGCAGAACACTGTTTTAGAATAAATCTGGCAGTGATTGGCTTCAAAACGAGGCACTGAGACATGAGAATGCCTGGACTAGTGAGTCAGTAATTCAGTCCTACAGATGTTTGTGGAGCACCTCCTGTGTGGCTGTGGGAAGGGTAAGGAATGGATAAGCGAGAGAGCCCTTGCCTAAGGAACTTGTGCAAGATCCTATTGGGGGTTGGACAGATGCGAGAAGGAGTGAGAGGGGAGATGGGAGGAGTCAGGGCCCCTCCCTTCTCACCCCCACATGTTTTAGGGGTTGGCAAACTATAGTCCACAGGCCAGATCCATCCAGATGCCTGTTTTTGTAGGATCGATTTTACAATTTTAAATGATTTTTTTAAAAATCAAAAGAAAAATAATATTTCATGATCTATGAAAATGATATGAAACTCAAATTTCATTGTCCGTAAATAAAGCTTTTTTGGAGCACAGCCTTGCTTGTCCATTTATGTATTGTCTGTGGCTACTTTCACATACTAACAGAGACTGCACGGCCCACAAAGCCTAAAATATTTACTGTTTGGCCCTTTACAGAAACCTTCCCCACTCTTGAGTCACACGCGTCCTTATCCCAGTTCCTCTGTTCTCTGAAACTGAATGTCCCTCTTCCTACCTGAAGCTTTTCCCTCCACTCAGGGTTTTATTTTTTTTTTTTTTTATTTTTTGTCCTGAGGAAGATTAGCCCTGAGCTAACATCTGTGCTTGTCTTCCTCTATTTTGTATGTGGGTTGCCGCCACAGCATGGCTGATGAGTGGTGTAGGTCTGTGCCCGGGATCCGAACCCACGAACCCAGGCCGCCGGAGCAGACCGTGTTGAACTTAACCACTACGCCAAGGAGCCGGCCCCAACCCAGGCTTTTAAATAGGCTTCTCTTCTTTATGTTCTTCTCTAGATCCTCAGCTTCTCTTTTTTCCATGACCTACCTCTCTCCTCCCAAATATGCTCAGATCTATCCTGCTGAAAAAAAAATACTTCATCAACTCGAAAGCCCCCTTTTGCTGCTTCTCCTCATCTCTAGTCTCCACCTCCATTCCACCTGTCACTCATTCACCTTAATCCAGACTTCTGACCCCAGCAGTCCATTAAAACTAGGCTTACTAAGTCATTAGTGAATTCCTAGCTGCTGAATCCAATAGTTTCCCCAGTCCTTATCTTCCTTGTTTTCTCTGACATTTAACATTTTGATCATTCTCTTTTCCTTGAGACCTTTTTTCTGTTGGCTTCTGTGACATTGTTCTCCTTTGCTTCTTTTCCTATCTCCCTGGCCCTTTCTCCCACTTGCCCATCAGTGGCTTCTCTTATCTTACCAGTACCTTAAACGTTGGTGACTTTAAGGAGTCTATCTTTTGTCGTCTCATGAGAGCTATTATTTTATTGAGTACCTACTGTATGTCAGTCACTATATTTAAATGCGTTACACGAATTATTCCTAATCCTTACAACAACCCCTAAAAAGATAGATTTTGTTTCCTCCATGTTATAAATAAGGAAGGTGCGGCCTAGTGAGCTTAAGTCATTTTCCCAAGGTTACACAGTAAGTGACAGAGCTGGTAGAGCAGTAAAGTGAGGCTGCCCGAAGACTCCTGCCATAGACTTTCTTTTTAGCTTTCAGCCTATATGTCTGACTGTCTATTAGACATTTCCACCTGGAAGTCCTGGCAGCACCTCAAACTCAGCTCATCATCTGTCCCCCATCCCCTATCCAGCCCCAGATTGGTAGTGTGACCATCTATTTAGTCATCCAGGCCATAATCTTGGGAGTTGATCTCAACTTTGCCTCCTCCCAACCCTTCCACTCCTCAGCAGCCAGTTGTCGCTACAGCCGGTTATTTCTCCCCCTTTAATTTCTCTGGAATTCATCTCTCCTAATGTCCACTCTCATTTTGCTGGTTCAGATTCTTCTCATCTCTCTCCTAGACTGTTGTCTCTCTTCTCTTAATCTCTACCCCTTTTACTCTTGTACCCTTCCAGTCCATCCTCTGCAAGGCTACCAGAATGATTTCTCCTAAAGCCCAGATCTGATGGTGTTACTGACTTGGTTAAAACCTGTTGATGGCTCCCTGTAGTCCTGTTCCTCCCATAGCTTAACTAAGGAGGCTTCACCTTATTTTTCTGGATTCTTCTCCTTGCAGGCAGTCATCTCTCCATGCAGTTCCCAAGATGTTACCTCTTTCTGGAATGCCCTTGTTTTCCTGGTTTGTCTGAGGAACACCTTTTCAGTTTACCCCTAAAAAATAGACAAACAGGCAAGCGAAAAAGACATCCTCAATTCTGAGAGAGTACCTCAGCTTCTGAGCCTTCACTGATTTCCAGTCTTTCTGAGGGGTTAGGTTTCCCTTTTTTGTGCTCCTCAAGCACCCGGGCATGTATGTGTTGTCAGGCTCAGCGCAGTGTATAATAATTTGGCCACATCTGCCTCCTTAAAACCAGTGCTCCTCAAAAGCAGAGATTTTTGTCTTGTTTACTTTTTTATCTGTGTTATCTGGCTTGTTGCCTGGGACATAGTGGTTCAGTAACTGTTGAATGAGTACCAGTAGTGGAGTTAGAGACAAGGACTGAAGCCTTGGAGAAAGGTCAGGATTGAGGGATGAAGATGTTCGCTGAAGCTGAAGAGTAGACGGTACTGGCACCCTGAGATGCATAGCATCAGATAGTTTACCAAGTGTTTTCACAAGTGTTTTGTCTCATTTTGTTCCACTCGAAAGCACTATGCGACAGGCAGGGCAGGTGTTAATATTCACATTTTAGAAATAAAGAACCTCAAGTTCAGAGAAGTGAAACGGCTTGCTCGAAGTCTTGACTATTGGTGCCAGAATTCAGTCTTCTCCAGCCAAGTGTGTTGCACTTCCCCTGCACCAGTGTAGAGACTGGGAAGGTGTGGGAGATGAGAGAGAAGTTTTGGAATAAACCTACATTTAGAGGTTAAAGGGAAAGAGTGGCTCAGAGAGGATAAAGAGAGTTCCACGGAATTACTGTGTTGTGAAGGACAAGTTTCCAGAAGGAGAGGGCATCATTGATGAGATATTTTTGCAAATGGGGAAGGATGAGAGTTTGACCACTAGTAAGTTCAAGAGAATAAGTTTGTACAGTGAAGCCTGCCTGCCAAGTGGTTAAAGAATACGTGGGTATTGAGGGAAATGGAGGCATACGTGTGTACTACCCTTTCAAGAAGTTTCGTGGGGAAGGGAAACCAAGAGGCTGGCAGTTTGAGAAATGTCATACTGCCAAATATTCCAAGAAATTCATGATATGTTATCTTCATTTTGGACTTGAAAATATGCAGTGGAAACTATGTTAGTATATAACGGAGCTAATATATATAAGACTGAGTATATAAATTTCAGGTTGTTTTAGGCTCAATTTAACATTGGTCAGTTCCAATCAAGATATAGTGTCAGGGCAGGGTGTTGAATCAAGCCTTAAAACGAAGTCAGATTGTATTTGAATATAGGTAACTGTAACAGTATCTGCCCATACCAAGGGAGAGATGTTTACTAGAGTCAGAAAACACGCTTCTTCTGTTCATTTAGAATATTCACCTACCTCTAAGCTCATCTCTTCCCCATTACTCATCAGTTGTGGTCCAGGTGTCATTTGATCGACGGGAAGATTTCCCCTCTTTGTTAGAGCTGGTTTTCTGTGTTTAGGATAAAAACCTGTTTGTGTCATCCATATCTCCTGGGAGCCCAGCTCTGGGGGGAGTTAGGCCCTGGGCAGCTCTGTTGTCCTATTGATGAGGTGTCCTCTGTCTGCCAGGTAAAGCGGTACCAGTGCACCTTTGAGGGCTGTCCCCGTACCTACAGCACAGCAGGCAACCTGCGCACCCACCAGAAGACTCACCGAGGAGAGTACACCTTTGTCTGTAATCAGGAGGGCTGTGGCAAGGCCTTCCTCACCTCCTACAGCCTCAGGATCCATGTGCGAGTGCACACGAAGGAGAAGCCATTTGAGTGTGACGTGCAGGGCTGTGAGAAGGCGTTCAACACGCTGTACAGGTCGGCGTCTTCTCCCACCGCACCGCCAGCCTCTGACCCTGACTTTGTTGTGACTGCGGAGCTCTCTCTCCTGGCACAGTACAGATGTTCACTTTCAGGGCTTTAAAGAGCAAGCAATGCTCAACTGTTTAAAATTCATTAAAGGATCTTGTTACTTAGAGATTGAGATATATTGGATTGGTTAAAAATGATAGTACATTGTGTTTAGATTTGTATTTCCTGGAGTGACATTCTGGCCTGGGGATTTTAGTATTTGGCATAGGGTAATATTTCCCATTGGCTTAGGATCTTAGTATTAGGCTTCTGTCATTTTCTTTTCTACCTCACCTTGAAGATTAACATCTTTCTACCCTGAGAAATGGGGAGTAGTCCACTTGTTAGCCATTTCTCTTTTCCATTGTTTGTATCAGGAGACTTACATTAGTCTTCAACATTGGGTATAAAATAACATAATAATAGCTAACACTTAAAAAGCACTCACTATGTGCTAGGCCCTGTTCTGAGTGCTAATTCTCATGGCAGCTGACAAGTAACTGGAAGCACAGAGAGGTTTTGTGACTGGCTCAAGGTCCCCCATCCAGTAGGAGGTGGGACCAGGATTTGAGTCCCAGGCAGTCTGGCTCCAGAGTCACGCTCATACCTCTAGGAATTTCTCTTTGAGCAAACAATTTTGGATCTTAATATATTATGGATATAGAATTCTTCTGCACTTGATCCTGAGGGACATTAAGCTGACATGGGGAGGCTGTGTAGCACATTATCACAAAGGGAATTTCTCTGGGATATCTTGCAGGCTGAAGGCACATCAGAGGCTTCACACAGGGAAAACGTTTAACTGTGAATCTCAAGGCTGCAGCAAATACTTCACCACACTCAGTGATCTGAGGAAGCACATTCGAACCCATACAGGAGAAAAGCCATTTCGGTAGGTCTTTCTGTTGTCTATTTGTCACTGACCAGGTTCCAGCTGGGGGTCCTGATGTACTCTAAAATTTTTCAAAGTGGAGAGAAAATCCCCTTCAGTAGCTCTTTGGCAGTGTTAGTTCTCCCCAGGATGGCTGTAACCAGGCACTGCAGGTGGGAGGGTGGTGATGGGACCAAGGGCATCCTCACTTTGTGGATAATGGCCTTTCTGCCTCCATTTTCCCCTTTATTTTCAAGAAGCATTTGTTGAAACTCACTTATGTGGTAGGTACGTTTATCAGTGCTTGAGAAATACTAAGACACAGGCTCTCCTCTTGAGAAGCTTGGTCTGGTGGAAGAGAACCACAGATAACCAGATAGTATCTGAGACTGAGATGCCCAAAGTGCTTTGAGCACAGAGGAAGGATACCTGTGTAAGAATCGAGGTGGGAGGGGAGGAGGCCAGAGGTGAAGTGAGGAGTAGGAAGGCTTAGGCTGGTGGTGCAGGTGTTTTATTTTGTTACTTATTCAGTTGTTGCTTTGTAATATCTCATGTATGTATACACAAACCTACAGGAGCATCCATTTTTATCTATATATTCAATTTATGTATATGTACATATATATGTTTAATAGATACATGTATAAATGTATAAGCTTGAAGGAAGGACTTGTATCATCTACTTTCTTCTCTGCTCATAGCATATAGCATAAGAAATGTCATATAATCATCCCAAAGTTGTTTTGGGATTCAGTAGGGGTTCAAAAACAACTCTGGGATGATTATATGACATTTTTTATGAGACAATCAGTTTGTAAGGATTCCTGCTAAATATAATATAGATGTGTTACTGAAAATTACCCATAAACAATGTCTTTGAATTTTGGCAGGAGAGATTGCTCTTATGTTCGTGGCATTAAACTTGCTACCTTACCGTTCTCAAATCACTCATCTCCTCGTTATGGTACCGAGAAATTTAAAAGTCTTCAGGGGGGCCGGCCCAGTGGCGTAGTGGTTAAGTTTGCGCTCTCTGCTTTGGCAGCCTGGGGTTTGCAGGTTCGGATCCTGGGTGCGGACCTATATACCACTCATCAAGCCATGCTGTGGTGGTGGTCCATATACAGAGTAGTGGAAGATGGGCACAGATGTTAGCTCAGGGACCATCTTCCTCTAGCAAAAAGAGGAAGATTGGCAACAGATGTTAGCTCAGGGCCAATCTTCCTCACCAAAAAAAAAGTAAAATTAAAAAAAAATAAATAAGTGCTACTTATAAAAAAATAAAAAAATAAAAATCTTCAGGGCCAGTCAACTCTTAAACACCAGTTAAATGGAATTGTTTTAAAATTACAGATGTATTCCTGAGTCATGGTCCCTTTAAAAGCAAAAGTATTTAGATTCTAGTTACTCTCCAGATGCTCTAAAGCTTAGGTTACTTTTTTTTTTCCCCATAGGGCTGTTGAGGGGACTCTGATTTCTGTTCAATCACATGCATTTTTGTGATGATTAAAACTGCTAATTTTTCTTGAATATTAGATGAGACTTTGGACACAATGATTACATGTAATTAAAAAGTAAAGTGCTTTAGAGAAGCTTTCTATTTAAAGAAATAAAATATTTTGGCTTATAAGAAAATGCATCCATTCATATAAATAGTTATTGAATGCCTGCTATGTGCAAGAACTATAGCAGATGTAAAGTACTACATGGACCCTGCCCTCAAAGAGTTTACAGTCTCAGAACAGATAACAAGTGTACACACATAGAGATAAAATAAGATTGGAAATGACAGGTGCCATAAAAGAAGCATGTAGATAAATGCCTTAGGAATTCTGAGGAGGAAAAGATTACTTCTAGCTTTGGTTATCAAGAAAGTAAAAAGAGAAAGAAAGAGATATATCAACACTGCAGATTATAGATAAGTCATTGCAGCCAATATGTTCTGACTGATTTTGTTCTAGTGTTATGTTTCAGGCTCCATGCCTATGTGGGAGCCTCTGTACCCGCTGTTGACATTCCTGATATTGCACTGGCAGATTGTCCATATGGGCTCTCGTTGTCAATAGAATTCTGTTAAGTAATTCATCAAAAGGCTTTTATTGTCAGGACTCTCCACATGTGCCTTACCTTTAGGACAAGAAATACTTATCCTGGGCCATCAGCTCCCTGTGATCCCAGATTTGTCACCGTACTTTTCCAGAGATTTGTCGTCATTCCCATCTCTAAAACCAATTTCATCGATCTGATCCTGGTGTTCTGAACATTTGTTTGAGTTTGAGTTTGTATTTACAAGAGATGTCAAAGATAAAGGTCTGTTAGCTAATGCCTGCTGTTTCTCTTTGCTTAAACAACTTATTTAGGTGTGATCATGATGGCTGTGGAAAAGCATTTGCAGCAAGCCACCACCTTAAAACTCACGTCCGTACACATACTGGTGAGTTTAGGCTAATTTTTGTTTTTTATTTTAACCTTCATTGAGCCAGGAGATATCTGTGTTTCCATTGAGACTTGTAGAGCTTCATGGAGGGAGCAAGCCTAATCAGTTTAGCCTTCACCTGTAATGTTTGAGTTTCTTTCAGAGGGAAAAGGATCTAAAGGTTAGGCTCAGGAATCCAATCTTAAGAAAGGAAACCAATACAGAGATACTCAAAAACAGAACCTGGGGAAAAAACTAATCTTCTCTTTAAACTTCCCAGGAGCAGGCCATTCTCAGTGCTTTGCTCTTCGTTAAGTTTTAGGACTGAGATGATGTAGTTTATTCAACTTTATAACAACTGTTACCTGAACCTTCATAAGAATGTTTACTTCCCTCTGTTAGGGAAAAGTAGATGTCTTAATCCAGTGAAATGACTTTTTGGTAAAATTAACACTATTTGTCATTCTTGCAGGTGAAAGACCCTTTTTCTGCCCCAGTAACGGCTGTGAGAAAACATTCAGCACTCAATACAGTCTCAAAAGTCACATGAAAGGTCACGATAACAAAGGACACTCATACAATGCACTTCCAAATCACAATGGATCAGAGGTGTGCCATGTTTTGTCTTTTGTTTTGATCTGGGCACCACAGAGCAGCAACAATTGTTTGTGTATCACAATAAAAGGTTAAAACGTCTTTTCTATAAATCTGTTAGTGAGAGGGAAGAAATCAGAGTCAAGATCCACGTCCTTGTGGTGGGGCAGTGGAAGCCCTAAACTTCACCAGCCTCTCTGTGCTTCAGCTTCTGATTCAGCGCTGTCTCCTTTCCATCAGGTCTGGTGGAAGAAGGTGTCTTGAAACAAGAGGTCTCAGAATGGCTTCCGAAAGGCCAGCCAGATGCTCTGGAAGGGTGTCAGTTTCCCATTCATATCTATAAAATGGTATATCTGTACTTGAGTTTGGGACACGAATTAATGATTTGCTTCACACATCCATTAATCCATCATTGGAGAACCAGGCAGAGTTTGGAGGGTCCCTTGCCCTTTTGAATTGTCTGCAGACCAAAGGTCTGAGGGCCGCTGCTTTAAGGCACTGAACCACAGAACAAGCCTCTGCAGAGCTTTAGGCGGTTTTGTGTGTTCTTTACCAAGCCCTTCCACCATATTTCTCTCTCCTCTACAGCTACTTTCCAGAGAGATTCTGGGATAAATTTATGATTATTACTTCTTTTTTTTTTTTTAAAGATTTTATTTATTTATTTATTTTCCCCCCAAAGCCCCAGTAGATAGTTGTATGTCATAGCTGCACATCCTTCTAGCTGCTGTACGTGGGACGCGGCCCCAGCATGGCCGGAGAAGCGGTGCGTCGGTGTGCGCCTGGGATCCGAACCCGGGCCGCCAGCAGCAGAGTGCGCGCACTTAACCGCTAAGCCACAGGGCCAGCCCTATGATTATTACTTCTAATGTGGTATTGGGCACTTACCTCACGTCTTTTAAACCTAGGAAGTGAGTACTGTTATTATCTTACTGCTTCACAGATAAGGAAACTGAAGCACACTGACCCCGTTTTGCATAATGAAGTTCTTAAAGTACGTAATATGATTTTGATTTGGGGACAGACAGCGTACTTTAATTCTGTGGTTTCTCATTTTTAAACCACAAAGCATCCCTTTGAAAGGTCTCTGCCCTTGTGTTTTGTTAGTGATAATAACTAACATTAACTGAATGTTTACTGTGTGCCAAGTGCTGTGCTGAGTGCCTTTGTGCGGATTCTCTCACTCACAGAGCTCTGTGAGGTCAGTACTGTAATTATCCCCCTATTACTGTTAAGGAAACTTGAGGCAAGGAGAAATTAAATAACTTGCTTAACAATCCAAAGCTTGTACTTAGTCTAATTTGGGCAGGCAGTCTGATTCCAGAGCCTGGTTGGAAGAGGCAAATAGCATTAGTTGTGAAGAGTGCAGCCTCTGGAGTTCAGCTGCCTAAATTCACATCCAAGCTCCACCCCTAATCAGTGGCTTCTTTGTGCCACAGTTTCTTCATCTGTAAAACCAGATAACAATATTAAGATTTGAGAGTCTTTGTCTACTAAACTGCATTGATGAAGTCATGATCAATTTTCTCATTTTCATAACAATCCAAGGACAGTTGAATTGCCGACAACCTCAGCATTGGAGTGCTCCTGTGCACAGTGCTCAGACCTCATCTTCTCTGGATCCCTATTCACTCCCCAGTGGAGGGAAGCTCCTCGGTCTCAGGCTTTAAGTGCCATCTGGATTGCCTTTGAGTCCTAAATTTATATCTCTAGCCTGGTCTCTTCCTGAACTCTAGCCTTGTGTAGTTAACCACCTACTCCACCCAGGTATCATCTGCTCTTCTCAAACTTGACGTGTCCAAACCCGTTCCTCCTGAGTCTTCCCCATATTGGTAAATGGCACCTCCTTTTTTTCTAGTGGTACAGGCCAAGAATCTTGGGGTTGTTCTTTCACTCTTTTATCTTCTTATCCCCACATCCACCAGAAAAGTCTGTCAGCTCTACCTGGAGAATATATCTAGAATCTGATCACTTCTTCTCATTACTTTGTTCAAGCCGCTATCATATGGGCCGGCCCCGTGGCTTAGCGGTTAAGTGCGCACGCTCCGCTGCTGGCGGCCCGGGTTCAGATCCTGGGTGCACACCGACGCACTGCTTCTCCGGCCATGCTGAGGCCGTGTCCCACATACAGCAACTAGAAGGATGTGCAGCTGTGACATACAACTATCTACTGAGGCTTTGGGGGGGGACAAAAAAAAGCCGCTATCATATTTTGCCTGGATTATTGCAGTAACCTGCTTAAGTGGTCTTCTAGCACCTTTTCCCCCTTCTCCCCTCTCCCAGTCTTCCCTGACATAGACTGTCCTACATATATCACCCAGAGTGATCTTTCTAAACCATAAGGCAGATAATGTCTGTCCTCTGCTCATAACCCTGTAGTAGCCTCTTGTATCACTTAAAGTGAAGGCCACAATCTTTACAGTTGTGCACAAGGCACTGTACACTCTGACCTGGTCACTTCTCTGGCCTAGTTTACTTCTCTTCCTTTCCCTTCAGCCATACTGTCCTCCTTGTGGTCCCTTGAACAAGGGAGGCCCACTCCTGCCTCCAGGCCTTTGTACTTGCTGTACCCTCTGCTTAGAACACTTTCCCCACATACGTGCTTGGCCCATGCCCCCTTTCCTTCGGTATCTGTGCAAGTGCCACCTCATCTGAGAGGCCTTCCCTAATCTAATAGAAGAGCAGCTCCTACCCCAGCATTCCCTATTCCCTTTACCCTCTGTAGCGCTCTTTATCATCTCGTGTACTATATATTTGGCTTTTTGTCCCCCCCCCACTAGAATGTAAGCTCCACGGTGGCAGGGACTTTGCTTTGTTCATTCTTGTGTCCCTGGGCCTAGAACAGTGCCTGAGATATAGTAGATGCTCAGTGAATATTTGTTGAATGCGTGTATGTATGTGAACATCTGGTTCCCGAGGTGAGCTGGGTTCCCACATAAGGTATGTGAATTGCAACTGGCAGTCTAGGAATCCGGAGTTCAGAGTGAGCCCGGGCAGCTGTGTGTGAGTAGTAGATCCTCAGTTCCACCCTGAGGGAGGATCCCTGAGATGCCCTTATTGGGGACACGGTGATACAATGGAAGGAGGGTGGACTTGCAAGCAGAAGTACTGGGTTTGTGTTCTGCTAATTAGCTGTGTGATTTTGGACAGTTCACGGCCAGTCTTGTTATTAATTTTCTCATATTTAAAATGGGAATGTAAAATAATACTTTACTTTAAAGGTTTATATGAATAGCAAATGAGGTCATGTGAAATCACTTTGTAAATATAAGACCAATTATAGAAATATTATTAATTTTGTATTATTACAGCTTTTGTTACTCTGGAGCCTGAATCATGAGATAATTCTTAAACTCTTAATTAACCGTCTTTCAGAAATGTAAGAGATTCTTCTAAGAATGTCAGGACTTTTAAAATTAAAATATTTTACATAGCCCTTGCTTTGGATGGTTTATACCTTTCTAGGTAACATGTCTAGACATTTGGAATCTTAGGGATGTTGTAATCAAGTGTTTCATTACATGATACGCTACTATAAATCCTGATTTTTGTTTACGTAGAATTTTTTGTCTTTCACAGGATACGAATCACACCCTTTGTCTGAGTGACTTGAGCCTTCTGTCCACAGATTCTGAATTGCGAGAAAATTCCAATACAGTAAGTGTACCTGTGATATGGGTGCTAGAAAAACAAGTACAAGAATTGAGCACTCCAGGGGCCGGCCCGGTGGCGCAAGTGGTTAAGTGCGCGCGCTCTGCTGTGGCGGCCCGGGGTTCGCTGGTTCGGATCCCAGGCGTGCACCGACGCACCGCTTGTCAGGCCGTGCTGTGGCGGCGTCCCATATGAAGTGGAGGAACATGGGCACGGATGTTAGCTCAGAGCCGGTCTTCCTCAGCAAAAAGAGGAGGATTGGCAGATGTTAGCTCAGGGCTGGTCTTCCTCACAAAAAAAAAAAAGAGAATTGAGCACTCCCTTTGGTGGGAAAATTGAGGGAGGCCAGTCTTTAAAGTCTTCCAGATTTAATTGTGTCCAATTACTGACCATTTAGCGTTTTTTGTTTTTGTTTTTTTTCCCTGATAAGAGCTCTCATTGGAGGGGTTGTTCTCTCTGATGCCTGGTCACTCACTGAATAACCGCCTGGCCTTGGAAATTTTCTTCCTTTATTCATTTGGCAAATATTTATCGAGTGCCTACTTCCTGAGGCAGTGTGCCAGGGCTGAGCTTTTGTGCTAAAAGTAGGTGTGGTCTGTCCTTGAGGAGCTTAACATTAGTCCACTGAAGAGGGAGCCAGAATTCCAGTTTCCAGACTTTCTCAAGCTCTGCTGGTCTGACCTGAGTCAGTCTTTCCCTTTCTTTGCCCTTACTAGATTGAGGTTTTGAAGGGAACCCCCTCTACAGGCCCTCTGCTAAAGGACAGCCCCACTGTCTCTTGGTCTGATTGCTTGTGTTCACTCTGTGTGGAATTTCCCTCCATTCATCTGGCTCCGTGATGTGTCTTGCAGACACTGCATTAAGCCTGAGCTTATGCTTGCTCATGAGGATCTGTGCACTTTACTGTGTCACCAACGCTGTTTTGTTTTTTTTTTTGTGAGGAAGATCAGCCCTGAGCTAACATCTGTTGCCAGTCCTCCTCTTTTTGCTGAGGAAGATGGCCCTGGGCTAACATCCGTGCCCATCTTCCTCTACTTTATATGTGGGACGCCGCCACAGCATGGCTTGGTAAGTGGTGTGTAGGTCCGCGCCCGGGATCTGAACCTGCAAATCCCGGGCTGCCAAAGAGGAGTGCACACACTTAGCCACTATGCCACCAGGCTGGCCCCAACACTGGTTTTTAAGGGTGCATTCTTTGTTATTTTTCTCTGGTAAATAAGTATAGCTTAGGTTAGATTTTCTCTGTATATGCATAATAAATAAGAAAGAATCAACATGATAGGAAGTCTCTGAACAGAGACTGAAGGACTCAGGAATGCTGTGAAAAAGTGTTTCTCAGAGTGGGATTGGTAGAGTCATCTGTAGCACTTCTGGCAGCATAGGTTCTTGGGCCTCCCCCAAGCCTACTGAGTCAGTGTCCTCTGGGAGTGGCAGCTGACACTGCATTTTTATATAAGCACCCCAAAGCCTGTCACCAAGTTCTTCTGGTAATGGCAGAGTTGCCCTTATCAGACCAACCCTCCCATAGAAAACAACTACAAATGCTGGGCAAAATATAAAAACAACTACTGAGAGGCACCAGAGAGCAACCCAAACAGGCAGAGGTAACACTGGGAAGAAGGGCCCACGTGGGAGATAGCAAAGGCCTGGATAAGCTGTCAGATTTGAGGGCTTATCCACCTCAGGGCCAGCCCTGGCTGACACCAAACAGGGTGGCCAAAACTCAGTAAACACTCAGTCTTACAGGCGTGGATAACCAGAGGACAGAGTTCAGGGCTCCCACAGCACGTAGCCCCTGGAAAGTGCCTGGGACGCCTGGCAAAGAAAGAGCCACGAAGAGGAGCCCCAAGTTCTGTGTATAAACTCTGTCCAGCTCTCTTGTTGACCCCTGAACCGTGGACGTGGGGGGCAGACCCTGTGCAGCCCAGCTGAGGCTAAAGATCTGGACAAAGATTAGAGCTGCCGTCCAGTGCGAGGAAGACAGTTGGGGTTGGAGCACAGCCACGTCAACAGAATATTGAAGCAAACAAACACTCTTCCAAGAAGTGTAACAGAATCCAGAGCCTTTTTAACCACAGTTTACATCAGGAAGAGAGAGGCTGCTCTGTCCTGGGTGTCAAATTACATATTGTGTCCTTGTCACCCAGCATTTATCCCAGAATTGGAAATAGTCTCATTTTTACTCTTTCAAACAAGGCTACAATTCCTTGAAGTAGTAGGATTAATTTTGCCTTGTTTTACTTTGCTTGCTTTAAAAAAATTATGAATTAAATCATAAAATCAAATGATAAATTTTTATGAGATCGTCATTTTACGGGTTTCTGGGCAGCCACATGTGTACGTGTGCCCTAGAAGTGACCTTTGGTTTGCTCAGATCTTTTGTTAAAGGAGGATTGAAGCAGCTAGGGAATGGCCCGCTGAGCCTCTTGGCTCTGGGCTTCAGGATCCAGCCTGGTCCCAGACAGCTCCCAGTGTTCTTTGCTCCAGGCCCCAGAGGCCTGTTCTTGTCTCCTCTGGGAGCTGCTCCCACTCATTCTGCCCCCAGGGTTTTTGCCCTGAAGCCTGGCGGTGGCTGAGTCATAGTACCCTCAGCCCTTTGCTTTTTTTTTTTTTTAACTAGAAAAACCTTTTTATTGAGGTATAATATACACACAGAATAGTACACCTATCATAAATATATACAGCTTGATGAATCATCACTGTTCATCAAATCCATGTAACCAACACCCAAATCAAGAAACAGAACATTCCCAGCACCCCAGAAGCCCCCCTGATGCCCCCTGACAGCTATTACCTCTCCCTAAGGATAACCCCTCTCCTGACTTCTAACAACCTAAGACGAGTTTTGCCTGTTTTTGGGCTTTGTATAATTGGAATCATGTGGTATGTACTCGTTTGTGCTGGCTTCTTTCTTGCCACATTATGTTTAAGAAATTAATCCATATTTTTGCATATAGTAATGGATCATTCATTCTCATTGTTGAACAGTGTTACACTAAATGAATATACCACAATTTGTTCTTTCTACATCCCTTGGGTATTTGGATAGTTTCTAGCTTGGAGCCATTACAAATAGTGCTGCTATGAACATTCTTGTACATAATCTTTTAGAGTCACACAGGCTCATTCCTTTTTAATAATGTTACTGCTGATAATTTGTAAACAGGCAGAACAGAAAAACAACCACGAGGAAGTTGCAAAGCTTATAGCTTAGTGGTGGTTGTTAGCCTGCTTTTTTCCATACTGAGTTGCACCTCTTTCTTGAGTTATCAAATGGTGGTTTATAATCAGCATTTTAAGAACATCAACAGAGTAGAAAGTGTCAGAAGACATTGCACATAGTATATAGATATAAGTTCTGTTTCGTAGACTTTTGTTTCAGTTATACATATATATGTAATATGAAGTATATATGTACACATATATATAATGTAAAATGTATTTCTTACTTTGTGTCACATTGAAAAGTTTGAAGGCTACTGTCTTGGCCCGTGATTGTTAACTCCCTCAGGACTGGAAGCCTCGCATAGATTGCTGCCTTCAGCTTCTCTCATCCTGGCAGAGATTCACTCAACTCGCCTCGCATTCTTCCAGTTGATGGAATCATGCTAGAATAATTGGCCCCTCTTGGCTCGTATGGGCAGTTTCATCTCTGAGCCCCTCTAAGTTAGTGGACAGTTCCACTCACCACACTTTTGCCGCTTCCCCACCCCCAGAGTGTTCCTTCTCCCTCCCAGAAGCAGAATTATTGCAAAGTAGTCTTTAAATGCAAGTTAGCACTGGGGCAAAATCTAGCCTGAAGTTAGGTTTTGTTTGGTCTATACAGTGCTTTTCAATTGTTTTCAGTAACTTGATTTTATTTATTTATTTATTTATTCATTCATTCATTCATTCATTCCAAAATGTCTACCTTTATTGCCTTTTTTTTTAATTGATGTTTTAATAGTTTTTAACATTGTGAAATTTGGGGTTGTACATTTTTGTTTGTCCATCACCATATATATGTCTCCCTTCACCCCTCGTGCCCACCCCCTACCCCCATTGCCCCTGGTAACCACAATACAGTTTTCTCTGTCCATGTGTTGGTTTATATTCCA